CTCTCTCTCCACTCTCTCTCTCTCTCTCTCTCTCTCTCTCTCTCTCTCTCTCTCTACAAGCAACAGGGTAGAGCTTTTGCTTCTACATTTTAACGGTAGCTTCCACGGAGGACACGGCGAGAAGCGCACAACGGAAACCCTAGATTTTGGAAATTTTTTGTTGCCTTGTAGGTAATGGAAGTCTTAATGTCTTTTGAAACACTGAATTTTTGGGAACCCTAGTTTTCTTGCATGGGAGATTTACCAGATAATAACGGATAATTTGTTCTTCTCTTTGCAGGTTTTTTGGTTTTTGCTGTTTGTACTAAAGATCTCCTTTCTCAAATTTAGAGGCAAGGATCAGAGAGCCTCTGAAATTTCTCTGCTTTATATCTATCTTAATTGCCCTAGGTGTGTTATTGTAAGTATATGCTGGAGTTGGATTTGAAATCCTGTGAAACCCAACGATTTTAAAGAAATTGAAGACCTTATATTTCTGTTTTCGGGTTAAGGGTTTTTCATGTAATTTTGTTTGGTAATTACTGGAAATATTTTTTCCAAATTTAATTGCATGCATTTGGCGATCTAGGCAGCCGTTGCTTTCTGTGCCTTGGAAACCCTAGATTTCCTTTCCTGTTTTTGAAGTTGGGGTTAATTTTTTGGGCTTGAAATTTAGGCTTGTATGTCTCATCAGAGCCTTATATTTACTTCTGTATTTAGCTATGGTTTCTCAATTCATACTGAATTTGCATATAACCTATACAGCTTGCTAACTAGAAGAAATTTGAATGTATGAACTAGCCCTAAAATCATATTCATCGTACTCTTTTGCTTTCTGCTTGTTCAATACCTCTGATTTTTTTCATCTTCCAGCTGTTTTTTTCTTTTTGGTCTTCTGTTTTTGGTTTATGTTTTGTGGTGGGTTTTATATTCCTTATTTGTATGCACATTTATTGCTCAAATGATTTTGCCTGAATATTTTTTTCCCCTGAAATTCGTTGTATTTGCATGCTTTTATTTAGGCCAAGCTTTGGGGGCATTTGCATGGTCTTTCTAAAACCCTTGGTTTGCTTTTCCTGTAGGGCTCAATCTATCCAGGAGGATTTCTTCAATGGAATAAGAATCAGTAGATGGGAATTATCTCTAGATTATGCATACATGCAATGTTGTGATGGGTGTCCTAACTAATAATCGGAAACGACCTAATGATTTATTCAGTTTAAGATCTTCTCCATGTGGAAGTAAATGTTCAAGTGGGTTTGTTTCTAACTTTGCTGATTCTGAGCATAACAGTGCATTTTGCAATAAGAGGGCAAGATTGTCATCCCTACCTCCAAATTCAGACCCGATTCCTTCACAAAACCTAGTCCAGCCAAAGCCCATTGTTAATTCTTCCACATATCCATCCCCCGCTCCTTTGCGACGATCTGTGCTTGGTCCTGTGAGACCTTCAAAGTTTTCATTGGCAGCCAACCAAGTCACCAGATCTCACAATTATATGCCAAATTTCTTTAGGTCTAGTGAGAAACCAGAGGTCCTGGGTGGTGGATTTGTGGGTAAAATGGAGAGAGGTTTGACTAGGGTGGTGCAGAATATGTATAATGGTGCTAAAAATGATGCATTTAGTTTCTTAAGGAGTTCGCGAAAGGACCAGAATATTAATGGCCATGAAGACAGTTACGTGGACTTGAATTTGGAATCTGGTATCTTGGTGAATATGGCAAATGAAGACATGCCAGTAGAAGATTACAGAAGATTGGTTAGTGCTCATGTAAGTCGCCAATGGGATTTAGATGATAAACCGTTTAAGAAAATAGTCACTGTTGATTTGCCCAAGCATCTTCCGCTGCATTTCGAAAGTTCTAACGAGCCATCTTCATCGGGGTCCGGTTTGATTGCTGCTTCTCAGAAGACTGATGAGGATATAAAAACAGATTCTTTAACTAGAAGCCATAAAGATGGCAAGGTTAGAACTAGTTGTGCGTACAAGGAGTTGCATGAATCAGCACAGAAAAGGAATTCTAACTTGAGCCGTTTGGAACTCGAGGTCAAGTTGAACACTAGGAAATTTGAAACTCTTATGTTTATTTCACAGTCTCAGAAAGAAAAAGTGGAGGTAAGAGATTACTACTTTTTCTTTGTACTTCATTTTTTTGCAGAAGTTTGTTCCAATGCGTGCATTGGGTTCTGGTTTCTTAGATGGGATAAGTTCCTTTAATTTTTGCGGATTTCTCAGATGGGATTTAAGTTCCTTTTATGTATGAGATTTCTTAGATGGGACTATAAGTTTCTTTTCATTTGTGAGATTGCTGAGCACGCACTTTGTTGTTGGATCTGAATAAACAAAAGTCTCTCTCTCTTTTTTTTTTTTGCTCCAAAAGATGACAGGCCAAATTTCTGTGGCATTTCTTGTAATGGTGTGTCTACTGCAGGTCACTGTCTTGTCCCTCCTTTAGTTGCTCTTTTTACCAATCTTCCCTCTCTCCCTCCTTTCAATTTCTTTTTCTGCCTATTGTGTTGATTTTTGAACTCTCACTGACCAGTTGTTGTATTCTTATCCCATCCTCTGTGCCTTACATGTTTCTCAAATTCTATACCTCTCATTCCTTTGATTACTCTTGTTCTATGCTTTGTCTCAGTTCTTCATGTTACAGCACACTGAACTCTATTGTGTTCTCATCTGCTATTACCACATCCCAATACACACCTATTCATCTTGCTATATCAGGTCAGAACAAAATAAGGCTTGCACGCACATCCACTTATTTTATGGCTGGCAACATGTTGACAACATCTTAGTAAATTTTTGGTAATTCATGGTACTGCTGTAATTTTATTTATTTATTTTATTTTATTTTGTTTCTTTGATAATCAAACCTCTTATTTGGCATGGTATGGAGGGACTGCTTTATTCAGTACTAGCAATAATACCCTTTTATGTTTTTTAATGCTATGCCAGAACTAAAATATTTTTGAGAAAGATTTTACTATTTTGGATAGTGTAGTTGCGCTAATGAACTATACTCACTATGCATATAATATGTATAGTATTGGCTCATCCCCACTGCGAATCTTCACCTCCACCTGAAGCCACCAGGGACCGTCAAGCAGATGAATAGTTCATCATGTAGGCTGCGTTTGATGACAACATAAATTTGGGAAAGTCTCCGACTTTCTCCTATACTGTGGTTTTCTCTAGTTTGGTAGCAGTAAAGTTAGGGAAAGTTAGAACTCTATATTTCCCAAGTTACTATTTTCTTAAGTAATGTTGCTGGCCATGGGGACCCCGCATTACAACTCTCAGGGAAAATAGACGCTACACTAACCTGATAAAACCCAAAGGAGCCCTGAGCCTCTCTCTTTTCTTCCATGGCCACTCGCCCTTCTACCTCTCATCATGGCTCAACCCTTGAGCAGCAATACATTGCAGTGCGCTGAAGCTAGGTGCTTTGTTGCCCTCATGCACCCCGACCTTCTTGCGTTCTTTTTTGAATTCCATGCTTGGGGAATAATCCACAAGGGGATGAATGCCATATTCATTGTCCTCATCCCTAAGATAGAAGGAGCAGTCGGTCTAAAAGACTTTAGACCTATAAGCCTTATCAAAAGCTATTATAAAATTCTTGCCACGGTGTTGCTTCAAGGCTTAAGTCAGTTTTAAGCTCCGTCTTCTCTCCCAATCAAAGCGCGTTTGTCAAGGTTCGCCAAATCTTGGATGGTGCTCTAGTAGCACATGAATGCCTCCACTCAAGAACCATCTAAAAAATCCCAGGGCTAATTGTCAAACTGGACTGCAAAAAGACCTATAACCATGTTGATTGGAAAGTGCTCGAAGAAACAAAAAGAAGGATGGGTTTCGGGCCAAGGTGGAGGAAATGGATCTAGAGCTGCATTCGTGGTCCATTCTTCTCCATCCTCAGCAATGGTTCTCCCCAGGGGTACTTCTCATCCTCCAGAGGTCTCAGGCTAGGCGACCCCCTCTCTCCCTTCCTCTTCGCCATTGCGGCTGAAGTTTATAGGAGAGCCACGTCAAGACTTTACCAAGGTCGCCTAGTATGTGGTTTCAATATAGGAGCACAGGGTCCGAGTGTCTCGCACTTCCAATATGCCAACGACATGCTTCTTTTCTGCGAAGCGTCCAAAAACCTAGTTGAAACCTTGCTCCTCTTCCTCCATTGATTCCACTTTACTACGGGTTCCAAGGTAAATCTTCAGAAGTCAAAATGATAGGCGTTGCAGTGGACCCTCTATCCCTAAAATCTTTTGCAGAAAGCTAGGTTTGTGGCGTCGACACGCTTCCCTCTACCTACCTCTGCTTGCCTCTCTGCTATGGAAAACCTAAAAAAGCACAATGGAGTCTCCTCATTGATAAATTCGGGAGGAAATTGTCAACATCGAAAGGGAGGTACCTCTCCCCGGCTGTTAGATTAACTCTAATAAAAGTGGCTCTCTCTGGTGTCCTCATTTTTCAAATGTCTCTCTTCCACTTACCTGCTTTTGTGCCCTCCCGTCTTGGACAACTGATGTGTAACTTTATGTGGTCTGGAGATGGGACCTCCAAAAGTACCACCTTTTAGCATGGAACATCGTGTACCAACCTAGAGCTGTAGGGGGATTGGGAATCCAAAACCTGAAAAAGAATAACCTGGCCTTATTATGCAAGTGGTGGTGGAGACTTGCCACACAAGATAGTCAATTGTGGCACCTCATTTTAAGCCACAAATACCGTCTTTCATCTCCCCCTTGGTCCATTCCAGACTCCCTACCCCAATCCGCCTCTGGTTTTTGGAGTCAATCTCTCACTTCATCCGCTTTCATCGCAGGAATGGTTCCATAGTGAGATTCTGGCTTGACCTTTGGTTGGGTGGCTCGCCCTCTCCTCTCAATTTCCACAACTTTTCCGCCTTGCCAGAAATCCTTCAGTCTCCATTGAGGATCTTTTTCCGTCCTCGGGTTCTTCCAGATCGTGGAATCCTGATCTTCGTAGACCATTGCGGGTTGAGGAGCTCTCGGATTTCCTAGACCTCTCATCCTTCCTATCCTCTTGTCACTCGCCATCTCAAGGGGAGGACAAAATCATTTGGACACCGAACCCTTCGAGGGTCTTCTTGGTCTCCTCCCTATTCCACAAACTCGACCTTCCCCCCCTCGGGATAGCAACAAACCATCCCTCAATCTCCCAAGCATGGAACTCCTCCATTCCCCCTAGGATCCATGTATTCAACTAGCTTGCCCTATGGGGTAGAGTTTTAACAGTGGACCAACTCCAAAGGAGAGGAATACAAACCCCAAACAGATGCATGATGTGTCTCTCTAATGAGGAGACTAACGTTCACCTATTTTTTCTTTGCCCATTTGTGGGTAAAATCTAGAGTGATACTCGTCAACTATTTGGATGCTTGTGGGTAACCCATGAATCAGTTCCTAACCTCTTCTAGCTTTCAGCCTATCTCCCGTGGCCGTAATCTAGATCTATGCTCTGGAAAGCCACAGTAGCAGCCATTCTTAGGGCCATCTAGAAGGAACGATATAACAGTATTTTTCGAGGCCTATTTGCACCCATTCACAAAATCAAGGAAATGGTTAGAGGCTTAGTGATTTCTAGGCCACAAAGCATAAATGTTTCAAACTTTTGTGAACCTCGGACATCCACCTCAATTGGGCCAACATGCTCTTCCATAGGCCAAGAAAGGTTCCTCGCTCGACCCTTTGGAGACCTCCAGAGGTGGGCAATAATTAAGCCAAACTTTGATGGTTCCTCAGTGGGCAACCCATTGTTACCGGAATCTCTCCACCGACCTCGCGTTTCCGGTTTTGAAACCCCATTCCGCGTTCCGTTAAGGAATCTCCACGGAAACTGTTTTTCGAAACCAAGGAAACTCGATTCCTTAATTTTGGAATCTCGATTCGACACATCTTTAGAAATCTTTTTTCGGAACCAAGGAAACTTGATTCCTTAATTTCGGAAACTCGATTCAACACATCTTTAGAAACCATTTACTGGAACCAAGGAAACTCGATTCCTTAATTTCAAAATATCAATCCAACACATCTTTGAAAACTTGAACCTATTAATTGTGGGTAGACGTTCCCAAATATATCGAATCTGGATTCTAGCGAGGATTAAATCTTGATTCCATGTCAATTGGAGTAGAAATCGTCCTTCGAATGCTTCTAGTCGTTGCAAGCTTTCATTATTTTACTTGTGCCATCTTGGATGGCCTTTACTTAAACTTTAAAATATAATTGGTAAATACAACACATGCATTTTAAAGTAAAACCATGGCTATTCCTATTTTGTCTTTATAATAATGAAGTCAAAATCACAATAGAGGAATACTTGTCTTATGTATGTAATGACCATAAGTTCAATAGTAAACACAATCACTTTAAAATTCGGGAAACCTTCTAATAAGAGACATCCAATATAGGTTCTAAAGTTGATGAGGCTCAAGATGTTCTTGTGGCTTCCTTCTCCATAAAACTGAAATCTTGATTCCTAATAGGGGTCGTCAAATGCATTCTATAGTCCATATTATTGTAAATATCGATCTCAAACTGGCATGGATCTCTGATTTATATACTTTAAAAGCTTGATTGCAAATATGTTAATATCACGATTCGAAACAACGACATATCTATGTTCCACATATGTTAGAAACTCAATTCCATAGATGTTGGATACTTGATTCCGCATATTAAAGAATCTTGACTTCTGGAGTGTCGATTCCAGGGGGATGGGAATCCCGATTCCAAGGAGGACGGAATCTCGATTCCATAGGCGGATGAAACTTGGATTTATTTCGATCGAAACACAATTTTCAGAATCTAGGAATCTCGTTCCTAGCGATTCCTATTGTATGGACAATGATTCCTAAGACAACAATCTTCTAGCCGTCCGCAATTCCGCGATTTTGGTTCCTAAAACAGTTCTAGTTCCCAGGCATTTTCAACAACAATGGGGCAACCCTGGTCCAGCAAGAATATGAGGCATTTTTAGAAACCACAAGGGAATCTCCCTCCTCTCCTTCTCTTCTTCAATAGGGACTGCAGATTTCACGGAGGTCAAAGCACGCACCCTCCTCAAGGGCCTTAGACAGTTTAACCATTCATGGGGCTCTTCTCTTATAGTAGAAGGGGACTCAAAAAACATTCTCTCTTGGGCCTCCTGCATATATCATCTACCATGGAGACTCTAGCCTCTTTTTGACTAAATTACTGATCTTTGCAAGCATATGCAGGTCTCTTGGACTAATATCTAGAGGGGGGCCAATCAAGTAACCGATGCTCTAGCTAAGCAAGGAGCCTCCTCGGAGTAGTTCCGTACTTCCGTTGCCAGAAATGTTTTGTGCATTCCTTTATCAAATCTCTACGTAGTCAATGCTGCTCTGTTATTGTCTTTAATGTGTTCATATTTTTATTTCTTGTAGCATCCTTGGTGGTTTATTTTCTATTTGTTTGTTACCTCTCTCGGTGACTTGCTTTTGTAGCCCTTCGGGATCTTTTTGTAACTACCTCCCATTAATACAATGTTGACAATATAAAAAAAAAGAATCTCACTTCCACCTCTCGATCCTTCTTTTTTTTTTAATCCAGGTTCCACAAAATTAAATATCACAGATTTTAGGTGCACAAAATTGTGATTCAATCAACATGGAATCAAGCTTTATGATTTTTAAGAGCATTGATCTGATTTATTTGGAATCCCGGTTCGACATAATCTCATTTTCAAAAATACATATAAAAAATTAAATCTCATTTTCAAGTATATCATCATCATCAAAGCCTTATCCCTACTATTTGAGGTCGGTTGTACGAATGTTGTTCCGCCATTCTGCTCTAGTAATGGCCACACCCTTAGTAAGGCCTCATTTTCAAGTATATTAACAAGATAATATTTTGTATGTTTTGTAAACACAAACACGAATTCCCTAGCGCACTAGTGAAATATTATGTTATTTGAAGTATATTGTTACTTAATATATGATCAAAACTCTATACGTGTCTACGAACTCTACTTAACATCATTCCTATATTTTGAGAACCCATAAATATATTGCGTTTAAATTTCCTTATTAGTAAACTACGTATTTTTACTTATCTCTAGTCAATCTAGAAAATCAGTAAACCTCAAATCTAGTTTTAAGGGACGACTTTGATTCTGATATCTGCGGGTAACGATGATTAAAGCCACTCAATGCATCATTTTCAGTACTAGTGAAATCCTTGTTTAGGTCTTAAGGATCATTGAGGACCTCGATTCCAATGTTAGGGGAACCATAGCTAAGTGTACTCGATACATTAATTCTCATACTAAGGGATTGATGCTCTAGAACCTTGAACCTTTTGCCCTATAAAAACTTGTTTCTTGATGATTTCTTATGCGGTTCCAATTGGTTGAGCATGTGATTCTAGAAAGTTAAGAATCTCAATTGCAATTGGGTTGGAGTGTTATCTACAAAAAGCAGGAATCTCGATTCCGGCGATATTCATTGTACAGATGGCGCTTCGTATCATGGGAATCTTCTTGCTGCTTGTTATCCGACACTTCCAATTCCTAAAATGCTTTTTGATCTCTCGCGCTTCCAACGACTATGTTTCATCACCACCGGGATAGAGGCCCTTGATCGTACTCCATCCTGTGATATTGTATTGAATATATTGAAGTATATGAAAGCTACATGCCATATAGTAAGTCTGTGTTTACATACTTTATGGAGTTTGTAATACATTGTTTAACACGTAATTTTCCTTTTTTCTCTCTCTCAGTAATATTTCCCCGTCAAGTTTGATTTCTTATTCCAGCAATTAGCAAAAATCCTGTCTTCAAACTAACATGTATTTATGACCATCTGATATGGATATCTTTGCTTTAAGTTTCTGATTGATGCACATAATTCTAATTTTTGTGGCAGGCATATGATATCATATTTTTAGTCTAGTGCTTATTTTGCTGTACCTTTATGCATGAAACTGCAAATTTCCACGCTTGGATGCATGATAGTCATTGTATGGCGGTGATTGGCCTTCTCAACAACTGTATTGAAATATGGCTGTTCATTTTCCAGGATTCTTTGCATAAACCTTTGGAGCCTCTCTCAAATGAAGATGAAGCCAATGTCTCCCGTGCTCTGCAGGGTGGTAGTAGGTACTATAGTTTAGTTTGATGCATGGGTTGAGGGTAATGCTAGAGCAGTGTTTTAAGGCGTTGGAGCGGCTGATGCAGCTCGATGCGATCTAGATGTGGGTGCATATGCGATCAATAAATATAAAAAAAATCTAATATCTAAAAAAATGGGTTAATGCATAGAAGAAAATATGGAGGTGATTTATGTGATAGTAGGTATTTTATTTATTCATTAACTCGAAAAGTATCAGCTGTCGGAGATTCTATATCCATTATTCCCTGATCGAACATAGAAGACATTAAAAAGTAGAAACTAGAAACTTGAAATTAGCTTCATAAAACATTCAACAACCATAATCACAAATTTGCTAACCACAAACTTTAAAGTTGCAAAATACAAACTAGAAGTCTATGAAGATTAAAGAGTTCAAAAGTCAAGACAAATCATCACCATTTCTCAAGTCTTGAGATTCTAAATTTTGAAACCTAATCAGACAAGTTATCTAGAAAGTCTCCATGTGCATCATCATCATCACTGTCATCCTTAGCTTCCTCCACATATTGTTCTTCTTCCTCGATCTCCTTTGAGGCAGCCTACTCCTCCTCGACCTGTGGAGCTGATGTGCGACTGGACCCAGCTCTACTATTTTGTGCTCTAGTGTTGGGCCGTTCTTCATTAGCCCTTGTGGCTAGCATCAAGCCAAGTAAGATCCTCACCCTCAAACACGTGCTCTACTCGTGGATCCATGGTCCACTTACTTGTGTAATCACCATCAGGTTCATACAATTGAATAGGGTTGAGATCCACACGCTTTTGATACCTTTCCCTAAGCCGCTCATTGGCACATAAACCAAATCATTCAACTTTTGCTACTCCAACGTATTCCTTTTTTTGGTATGGAGCTGTGGTAGAAAACAAGGAAACAAGCAAAAGTAACAGATGTTATTTTCTTGTTTCTACTCTTAAACTTCTTAGATAAGTGAGATTTTAGAAATTTGAAATTTGAAATTTGAAATCCAAGAAATAAGGATTAAAGACTTTCATACTCAAATGCACTCCAAGTGCGTTCGTAACCATATGAGCTACATGTGAGACTCAACACTCTAATAGCAAGACGATGTGGATTCGGTGTCTCGCTTACGTATAATACCCACCAGGCAGTTGTATAACATTTTATAATTTAGATTTTAGATAAATATTTAATTATTTATATAAATGGAACTATACATTATACAAGTTCAAAACTGTAAAGCAAAACATAATTGAAATTAAAAAGGGTACTTTTGGCCTTTACCGGGATTTGTGGTGTCCATGTTTTGAGTTGCAATCTCTCTCCCAAAGTTTCCCAATGCTAACTTGAACTGAAACAATCAATTCTTGGCTTCGGATCTTATCTTGGATATCTTTGTCAGGGACAAACCTCTCAAGCACATCTAAGAACCCACCATTTATTACACGATCAAACATAATGGTTAGGTGCTTGTAGTGAAGAGATGGATTTAAAAAGTACCCGCCTGAATGGAGGTGACTATGAAGCTGGTTATCCAATCTCCTATCAATAATTTCAAGCAATGTTATCAAATTCGCTTCGCATTTGCCAAAGAGGCCTAAGCCTTCGGATCTTAAGCATAAATCAAAGCAAAGAGAAGCGTGGTGTTGCCTCTTCGGTTAGATTCGAGCCGCTTAGGCCTGCTTTGGTTTGCTTTGGGTCTGCTTCGGCTGAAGCTTCGGGCTTCTTCGGCCGAAGCTTCGGTCAGAAAATAAGTACCTATATAAAAGTATTTTTTTATTTTTTTAAAAATTTTAATTTTTAAATTTTAATTTTTTCCATTATTTTATATATTTTGTATATAAATATCTAATTTATTTATATTAAATTTAAAAAAAAGTCTAAAGTCTTCTCCCGAATTGGCTGAAGCACCGAAGCTTCATTTGTCTCACCAAACTGAAGAAGACTCCAAAGCGAATCAGACAACGTTGATTTCAAGTATAGCCTTGCATTTATTTTTATCATCCTTTAAAGCATTTTTTATCTCCTCTTGCCCTAGTCATTGCCTCATGTATGTAGCCCATGGCAGGCTTCACTTCACTTTCAACCAATTGAAGCACTCTCACTACAGGGCTAGCCACCTCCAATGCATGATATATCTGATTCCAAAAAGGTGTATTGAGAATAATTTGTTCAGCCTTCCTATTTAAAAAAAAAAATTTGTTTAGCCTCTCCCATCCCTATGCTTTGACTACTTACTTTTACTCAATTGCTCTGAAACAAACATGGTCCTCAAGGAATTCTTTTGCTTACATAAGCTTTGAAGATTCAGAAATCATGTGGCAAATCTAGTGACACCTCGTCGCATTGTATCTCTTTTCTTTGTAAAACTCCTCATTATGTTAAGGTCTATGGTGTGATTATAAAATAAATCCAACAACAAACATAACTTTTGAAATCGTCCCACTAAATATAATATTGTACTCATTTTCTTAAGCATGGGATTAACACAATGAGCTGCGTAAGGAATCCAAAACATATGCGTCCTCTTCAAAGTCAAAACATGCCCAGCTGCAGCGTGATTGGCACCATTGTCAGTGACAATTTGTACCACATGTTTCTCTACAACAAATTCTACAATCTCATCCAGCAAGTCACATAAGTATGTAGCATCATGTGACTTATCTGAGGCATCAACGAACTTAACAAAAAAAAGTATTTTTTGGACAAAACCAAAAAATTAATAAATTCCCTTGACTTCCCTTTGGCCCATCCATCACACATAATAGTTGCCCCATACTTCCCCCACCATTTCTTTGATAAATCAAAATTTTGTTAATGTCAAATACAACATCATTTAATAAGGGCTTAATTGCCCAATTGCCTGGACCATATATGCAAAACTATCAAGGGTTATAATATAAAATGAAATACCGGCCATGTAAAGCCATTTTGCAATGTATTTAAATACCTTCTTCCTCACCTCTTTCTTGTATCGATTTTCAATTGTGGTTTGGCTTACTTTTGCCTCCTGTCTTGAACCACAATTTCAAGGTTACAGGTGAAAAAAGTATCCATTGGCCCCTTAGAGAGGTGTTTTTTTTCTTACATTGCCACCAATATTTATAAACCCCTCTCTTGACCTTGGAGTTCCCCTTTGCCTCATTCCAACCTCTGACGTATCTTTATCATCTTCATCATCATCAAATGATTGAATATTATCAATTAATTCTTTTTGTTTCATTTTTTTCTTTTCTTTTTGTTTTTTCAAGCTATCCATTTATTCTCTAATTTCCTTTTTGATATCTTCGGTTGCTTGTGGGCATGCTCTTACATTCTTAGAAATACCGGCTAAGTGTTATTTTTACCGAAAAATACCCCCTATATAAGTATTTCCACAAAGCGTACAAAATTACAAATAACGCAATTGTGGTCTTTTGGATTATTATTTTTTGCTTATTTCCAAACCGGATACTTGTTACTAGAAGATTGTGAAGACATTGCCCACATTGCCCTGCCCAAAAAAAGTGCTCAAATAGTAGGGGAAAAAAACTTATTGATTACTTGAAGAAAATATTGATTTCTTTTCAGCCCTTGAAACCCTCAATCTTTTGTCAAAATCTAAACCTTCCTCAAATTAACACCCAAAATAAACAAATCAACCACCAAGATCAACCAAGACGAAAGTCTAATTTTGAAAAAACAAATTTTTGCCTCTTTTTTTTTATTTTTTTTATTTTATCGATTTGATGAAGTAAAGGCTGCCGATGTGGCTGTTTTTGGTAGTTTCGGGGGTTTAGTACCCCCCCAAACCCTTTCCCTCCTTTTTTTGGGCTTAAAAAGATGAAAATACCCCTTTATCAAGGGGCTATTTTTTACATCACATGCTGGCCGCATATGTGCCCTATGCGCTATGCAGACGCATATGCGGTGGGATGTGGTGCATATGCAAGCGCATCCCTCCAAAGTGCATATGTGGGGTCCTATGAGGTGGTTGTCAGCGCATCCCGCATTATGCGGCAATGTGGCCGCATTTTAAAACACTGTGCTAGAGACTTTGATGTTTGACTTTACGTTTACTGTTGAATCCTTATAGAAAGTAATGGATCATGGATTTCTCTGCAGGCATGAAGTTCTTGTTGTACATAAGAGTTCTAATATTGAGATTACAAGAAGCATCTTGCAGTGCTTGTTACCAGGTGCCTGGTTGAATGATGAGGTAATTCTTGTCGATGTTCTATATGGTGATAGAAGTTTAGGAGTTCCATTTTATTGAAAGCATTGTTGATGATTAATATAGTCACGTTAGCCTCATATTTGTTTTACTTCTTAGTGTCTTTTGCAAATTCTTTATATCTTAGTGTTTCCTTTAGGTGATAAACTTGTACCTGGAATTATTGAAGGAGAGGGAGAAAAGAGATCCAAAACACTTTTTAAAGTGTCATTTCTTCAACACATTCTTTTATAAGAAGGTCAGTTGCATCAACTATTGTTGTTTATTTTAAGAATAATGCTAGCCTAGAATGGTGTTGCATGCCTTCTTTTCTTCTCGAAGTATGTGCTTATAAAGGATTTGTAATGAAAATCTACTTCATTTAACATTATGACTTAAGTTGTATTAGTTGTCTTTTGACTTTTGAGCACTGTCGGCCATTGCATGTGTTCTAATACTATTGGATTGGTGGCAATTTCAATTTTTAAATTTGAAAAGAAGTTACATTTATTCAGCGTGCATTAATGACACTATCTCATAATGCTTAATAATGTACAAACATATCAGGGGCATTTGATTTTTTTTGAATAAAAGGTGACCATATATTAAAATATGGTTTATGTATTACAAAAAACCATGAGTTATAGGTTACAACACCCCACATATCAGGTGCTTACAAGCGTACAAATAAAACTAGAGCAAAAAATTCCTTGAATTACACAAAGATAAGGGAAGATAGGTTGCTGTAAGAAAGAGGTGAGGGTTGGAGAGGGAGAGTGTAGGAAATCGAGAGAAAGCAAAGTGCAGTCAAGGAGTAAAGATAATGATAAGATAAAAGATGGGAGGGAGAGGATGAGGAAGAGAAAAGGTGAGAGATAGAAGATGGGGGGGGGCGGGTAGAGAGAGAGAGAGAGGGAGATAGAGACCGTGAGGAGAGGAGAGAGAGATGTCTTCGGTAGGCATCCCACATACCGGGGCTTTGCCCAAAATTAGAGAATAAAAGAAGCCAAGAAACGGAAAGATGTGGATGCAAAAGCAGCCCCACGTTTTGCTAGCAAATCAGCTTTCAAGTTTGTCTCATGTGCTAGATGTCATGGAAGTCAACTCAAAGTGGCCTGCATAAATGAGTAATATGATAGAAAACATGGGTTTGTAAGGAGGTTGTGATTTGCACGTTGCGCAATAAATAACCTTTCTAGAGTCAGCATCCATGAGCAAGTGGTTCCCGCAAAATCAGATTGAATCTCTTGAGAACTTCAAGAAGGGCATTTGCTTCGGCACTGTTGGAATTGCTAAAGCCAATGTGGGTGGAAAAAGAGTCTAGGATGGTCCCTTTCAAGTCTCTACAAATTCTGCGAACATCGCACGGACCCATATTCCCTAAGGAACATCCATCTATGCTGACCTTAATAATCTCTTGAGATTTTTTTTTATCTTTTTTTTGGAGGGGGGGGGGAGGCTGTTTTTTAGGATTTTAGTATGTCCTGCTAGTTGGATTTGAAGTTTTTTTTGAGAAGCCATTTATAGCTTGCATTTGTTGGCCCAAAAAATTGTTAGAACTCTAGCTCTTTCTACCACGGCTCTCACGCTACTTTTGGCTACTAGGAAGATCTGCGAGTTTCATTTCCCCCAAATGGACCATATAATTGCTCAAATGGAAGCTCTCCAAAGGAAAAAGTATGTCGAGGTGGATGAGAAATAGGTTTGACGGACTTTGAAGTAGCCCGCTGGCAATCAAAGTCATTGAGATGTCCAAACTTCGGACATGAAATTCCAGTGGAGAAAAAGATTAGAATGAGATTTTTCTTCCTCCCCGCAAAGAGGGCATCTGTTTGGAAGTTTGAATCTTGCCCTCTTTAGTTGGTCTAAAGTGAGGTTTTGGTTGGAAATAGTTAGCCAAGTGAAGGCTCAGGGTGAGCCAGGCTTTGTTGTGAACAATGTTTTAAAACCCGAGGGTTCCCGATGCGGATCGCCGATCAAGATTGGGAATCTGTCGGGACCTTTCCGGGATGATGTCGGTCTCGGCCTTGGTTCCCCCAAAAAAGCCCCCTTTATATTTTTCTTTTCTTTTTTTCTTAAGCTCATGTAATGTGTTTTTAGGTCCCACCCTAAATCCCCAATCCATTATAGGGAGTGTTTGATAACTGAGAGTTTTTAAAGTGGGAGTCAAACGTCCCACTTCCATGTTTGGAACCACGATGCGGAAGCTGCAAAATGGAAGTTTGGCCACGAGACGAATTTCTAATGATAGAATCCATGCGATTTTTGGGAGCCACCTCTTCCATCAAAATAGATGGAAGAGGCGTTTTCCATACTTTGTGGGTGAGGCGTCTTCCATCAAACACTCACTTAATTTTCATTTTATTTTTTATTTTTAATATTTTTCTAGATCACCGATCTAGACCAATCACAAATCACCGATTTGTCATCGATATGTGGGGTGAAAGATGCACCCCACCAATCCGGATTTTGAAACACTGGTTTGCAAATGATTACTAAGTGGGAGGAGGCCAGATCAAGTGCTTTATAGAAGGAAGTCACTGAGAAAGCCCCAATGTTCACCTCTGAAAACCCTTGACGAAGAATGAGGCTAGAAGGAAATGGAGAGCTAATAGGTCATCAAAATCATGGTCTTGGAGTGCTCTCCTCAAGGTGGGCGTTCGGAGTAGGTTACTTTCGGTTTGTGGAAAATAATGAGCAACAATGGCATTGGGTTGCTAGCAAGAGCAAAGAGATTTGGCCAAGTTTCTTTGAGTGTGGTTGATTTCTTATCCTAGAATGGTTCCAAGAGAGAACGTTTTCTCCTGAATTAACTTTGAATCTAATGAAAGCATGGAAGCTCAAAAAAAATATTTTTATATAAGCCATAGGAGACTGCAAGCCTCAGGTTGTTCTGAGGGAACCAGGCTAGAAGATCTGTGCCATATTTTTGATGGAATACTTGGTGCCACAAAATATTCTTGTTGGTGGTGAACACCATCACCAATTGCCAATAAGAGCCCTATTCATAAGTTCGAGATAAAGAATCCCCAGGCCACCCGCTTGTTTAGGGATGCAAACTTTATCCCAAGGAATAAGTTGTGGGTTTAATTAGGGAATGATCTCATTGTATTATTATTTTGATCAGATGCTCAATGAATGAGGTTGGTCCACTGCCAGCCATGGGTGACATAATTTCATATGCATTTGAACTCCAAAAGTGTTCTAATGACAATTTGTACTTGTTTATTGTTCTGTTTATAAAGGTTGTATGGTTGTTTCTCCTTGTGACTTGCAAGCATGAGTGAGAGATAAACACTCAATTTCCCTTGCCCATGATGTATATACTCAAGGCCATGACACCCTTGAGCTTCACCTTGAGGATTGAGGACCACAATTCCATACCTATCCAGGAGTGTATAGTATTACAAGTTTGTGATTCAACTTCTTGTTGTCCTAAAGATGCCACAGCAAGAGTATGGAACACCTTCAATCTCATAAAGTAAAGTTGCCTCATATAAGACTGATACAGGCATAGCATTTGACCCACATGTATAACTGGGGTTTCTAACATTTTCTGGTGGCAGGGGGCTCATTGTCTTCACCACTATCTTGCAGGTTTCCAAGAAAAGAAAGCAAGAGAAAATGAATCCACAATGGTATGCTAAAGCTCAAGCTCATATAAATACGTCTCATGAATGACCCTCACTAAGTAAATATGTCCCAGTGTGTTGTGCCCTTTCTCTCATATTTGCGGGAGTCACTAAGTAAATATGTCCCAGTGTGTTGTGCCCTTTCTCTCATATTTGATGACTCCCACAATAGATGCCTTTTGAAGTTTCCCCAGAAAAGTACCATTAAACATGGGAATTAGGCACCGCGAACAGAGGAGAAGCCCGAACATCCGAAGCTGAAACCCATTGAGGGTTTCCACATGCAAAACATTAACAGAAACCTGCCCCATGTATTTTTTTTTTTTTGCTAACTGCTGTTGCACTGATTTTGCTGAACTGCAAGTAATAAATATGGTGTGCCAAATGCTAACTTGAAGATGACATCACGAGCTCTTCGGAACTGACCAGAGTAGGTCAAATATAAAGAAGATAAAAAATCTTATATGAGAAGAATCGTTCGGGTTTTTGTCAAAATAGTGGGAACATGGAGACTCTTCAAAAATGGCCCTAAAAAAGCAAACAAAGATAGAGAAAAATCCCAAAAAATCAGAAAAAGGGTAAGAACAGTGAGTGAGGAGGGAGTATTTGGAAGAGTGGGGGAGAAAGAGAGAGTTCCCATAGGAAGAGATGATCTTCTACCATCTCAGAGATCGTGAAATATGAGCTTCTACGAAAAGTGTTCTTTGATATGAGTTCCTTCTTTAATCTGTCATAGTGTCATCCTCTTTTTTGTGATGGTTTGAAAAAGGCCCCTATTCTAGCAATAGAGAAGAACGATGGAGAGAGGGAAGACAATGTGATCGGTTTGTGGTGAATACTGAGGGAGGGTTTTGCAATGAAGGGGAGGGATGGTGTTCCAATTTGGATAGATGGGGAAGGGTTTGCTCTGTGTGTATGCGTGTGTGTGTGTGTGTGTGTGTGTGTGAGAGAGAGAGAGAGAGAGAGAGAGAGAGATGG